CCCCCACTCCCCACCCTAGGGATCCCAGTGGAGTTAATGCAGGATTAGCGTCGCAATTAATTAGTTTAAAACGGTTTTAACTAAATATCAACTCACCCCCATCTGGTTGTAGTCTGTTCCTTCTCTAGACACCAAGCTACCAGGACTGGCTTTCTTACTGGAGTTATTCAGCTCACATTCAACGACACCCCAACTGGTATGACGAACGTTGATCGAGAAACACCATGGTAGCCAAACACAAGCATCCCAACAAAGTTCTTCTAAGTTCATTGTCGTGGTTTTGATGACGTGATTTACTAGTGCCTTTCCTTCTTCTTTGACGAAACGATAGGCTTCACAAGATTCGGCGAAAGAATTACGAAATGACGCGAATTGTAAAAACACAGCGGCGAAAACAAGAAACTTCGTGTAGATATTCATATTTCTGTCAAGAATAACAATCTCTTTATGAAGAAAAACGAGAACGTTATCGATCCATTAGTGCTTCCTAGTAATCATCATTATTGTTCAACATTTTTTTTTTTGTTTTTTTTTTTTTTGTTACACTCATTAAGCTACTGATATAAAACGAAAGCGTCGGATACTACGAGTTAAATAAAGCGTCTTTATTGACAATCTTACCTACGTGTCAGCTATTATCGTTAACTGGGAACGGCTTCTTGCAGCTTGATTTCTTTCTTTTTACCAAATGTACTAAGCAAAACTGACCAAACTAACTGTTGTTTCGACTCTCTTGTTATCTCCTACAAAATCAGCTCTATGAGTACTAGTGCTGGTAAGCGGTTTATTTTGAGTCTTTGAATACTCCTTGAATACTTCACTTTAGGCGTAGGCAGGTGGAAGGGTTTCTTAGATGCATTTTAATTTTTGATAGTATCCAGTTGCGCATTATGGTCTGCCTTCAGAACAATAGCTATTCAGTTATCTCTATTTACAAAACATATTTTTTCAAGGAAAAATTCAAACGCTCAAAAAAGAATCCGGCAAATAAACTAAAAAGCCTTATCGCACCAAAAGACCACAGGCTAACCACTCTAATAAATGAAGGAAATACTAAATGGTGTCTTGTCTTTGTCTTTTTATTCGCGCGCGCTATCGATTTTTTGTCATCTCACCTACCCCCCTTGGTAACAATTTTGTTTTTCTACTATACAATATACTAACCTTGTTAGTATATTGTATAGTAGAAAAACAAAATTGTTTTATATAACCTTGTTAGTATATTGTATAGTAGAAAAACAAAATTGTTACCAAGGGGGGTAGGTGAGATGACAAAAAATCGATAGCGCGCGCGAATAAAAAGACAAAGACAAGACACCATTTAGTATTTCCTTCATTTATTAGAGTGGTTAGCCTGTGAAAAGACTGAAAAAATGTCAATCAAGAAAGAAAGTAAAATTCCAGTTCTAACTAATCATAACTGAAAACCAATAATGCTAAGTAAACAAACTTTCTAAATACTAGACACTACTGCCTAGCGACTACTGCCTTGGGTGACACATGTTCAAAATAATCATCCATCTTATCTTGGGGGGGGGGGTGGGGGCATTCTAAACTTCAAATTATTTATGCAGCGATATGCAGAAATTCTGATTCTAACACTTGGTTGCTTGCATTTCAGACTTGTAGTATACATTTACACAAATATCTAATGTAATACCATGATCACCTCGGATTTTCAAACCCGAATTTCCCGCATGCATAGAACATGAGGGAAATTTAGAAGACAAAGAAATCCTTTGTCTTTTACTAAATTTTCCTGTCGCATATATTAAATGTAGGGAAATTTCATAAAAGACAAAGGATTTCATTGTCTTCTAAACCCCCTTATGTTCTAATGCCTCGTCTCCCTCAGGGACAACTCACTGCCGCTGAAACTGAATACAACGTATCCTACTTATGATATTACTGCACGGTTTCCATGTGGGACGCGTTCTCAAATCTGCGCATGCTCAGTCATAAGATAAATTGAAAATGACAACTTGTTTTTAGATTCTATTTTTGTTTTTATTCCACAAATTTTCCCTCGTTATTCGGGGAAATTTAATCACTAACTTCCCTCGTGCCATGGTATTACTTAAAGATATACTGATTAGTTTTAGCTAGGTTTGGCTCCAGCTTTAGTTACACTCATAATCTAACAATACTGACCTTGTTGCAAGAGTTTGACTAAACGGAATATATATTTTTATTTTTCTACTCAAATCTATCAGGGACTCTGATTTTTGTCTGCGTTGGCTTTCTAGAGACAAATCATCCATTATTTATATACTACTTCCCTAACTCATATAAAAAAATTCATCATGTAAAATTAGATTGAAATAATTTATTTTTGCTTTGTTTTGCTTTTTAAATCCGCTACTTTTCGCTATAATTGGTATATAACATTTGTGATAGACCATTTTAGGTTATGCTAGACTTATATGAGTCAAAAATAACTGTTATGAATGTCGCGTTCTGCTTGGAGCGCGTGCTTTATGAGAGCACATTGCACGCGCGCGCACTTTCCGTTGCGTCATTCCTATCTATCATTGTATTTTGTATTTCATAAAAGAAATAAAAAACTTGCTTGCCGTGCTGTGTGCCGTTATAAAGCACTTGGGGATTGGCAGAACACTCGAAAAGTGTCCAGAAGCACTGCGCTATGCGTCGTGCTTCTCCTAACACTTCTCTCGTGTTCTGCCAACCCCCGCGTGCTTTATGACTGCACACAGCACGCGCGCGCGTTTTCTATTTCTTCAATTTAACACTAATGAAAGGTCATTTTCAAGGCCCGAGCAAAGGAGCCCAACATTGTTGGGCCCAACATGTTGGGAGCGTTTGAACACCATGTTGCGTGTTGTTAGGCCAGGACTTGTTGGATGTTGTTGGGTGAAGTTTGAAACTCGTCAAACACTTTTTTTGCTTTCTTCGCTTAGGACTTCATTTATAACCATAACTGATGTGCATTTTCGTTTCTTTTCACGTTGTAAGGATGCAGCATGATGATTTCAAGCAAAATGGCGGATAAACAAACACTAAGTTTGAAAGGTATTGTGGGTATATTCGTCCCAGGATCCTTTGCATTGTCTTCATAATGCCCAACTTGTTGGGACTTGTTGGGACCGTTTGAACACAATGCCAACATTATCCAACAACTCAGCCAACAATGTTGGGTGTTGTTGCGCGCGTTTGTTCGGGCCTTCAGTTTGCAACCTCTCTGGAAGTAGCTATAACATTAATGGTACCGTATCAACCTTTTGAAGGGTTCATAGCACACTGAATTAATCAGACGTAATAACTATGCTTGATAAAACAGGAATAAGCACGCAACAATGCCTTGGTATTGGTATTTCCTTTCATATGGAACTGCACCCCAAGGTTCCTGTTCCTCTTTAAAACTCCCTGTTTTCCTGTTCGGTTTTCGCCACTATTTATTTTGCAGATAGGAATTCAAAAGTTTTTCAAAAGTTTAATTTCAACCACAAATGATCAACATCTGTATCCAATATTTGGCCTAAAAGAATAACGAACTTAACAAATAAAAGTTAAATAAAAGTTAAACTAAATTATTAAAAAAATAATAAATAAATAAATAAAAAAAAAACCGCAAAAATACTAGTGACCTACTTTTCATCAACTCTTCCAATCTTGAATAGCTCAAAAAAAAAAAAAAATTGCCAAATCTTGAATAAACCATTCAAGCGAGTCATAACCCATGCTTAAGGAATATTTATCAGAAGTAAAATAAAAACAATATATCATCCTGCCAAAACTAGCTCTGAACACTAGCCCGACGTTAGATAGAGTTTCTCTAACCTTGATCACTGACCACTTATCGGGTAACACAATACGTTTTAAGGTTTGGGACGTTTTGCGCTCGTTAGCAGCCTGCTGCTTGTGGTCAGGTCTTGCGAGTGAAAAGACACGTTTAGCGGAAGTCGGGCAACCTTTTACGTGCCACTATACCTGTATTAGTTACAAGATTAAGTTGAATTACGAACATGTACGAAGGTTAGAGAGAATAAGAGATTGGTCGCATAGATCATTTGAACTTGGTTGGATATCTTTATTGCTTGTTGGTGATCTTCGTCATAACATACTGAAAACGAAGTTTGCTCCTGTTTTCTTTCTGCTCTTTCAAGGTAGGTTTCAGTTCTCGTTTGCCAAGAAAGCAAACTACAGTCTCTAGAATCCGTTTGCGAACATAAACTTGCAGAAGGAGAAATACTCTGCCGGGTTGGTGAGATATTTATTCATTGTCAGGTAACACGTTGTAGATAGTCTTCACTGAATCGACTCGATAATGACAAAATCAAATAAAGTTTGGCTCAAGCAGTTTAACGGATGCTTGACTGAATTTTGTTATGAGTACAAGACAATTTTATATGGAATTGAGACAATGTTACTAGAATGGCGATATCTTCGACCACAACACCTAAAAACCTCTCCTGCCTCTAACTAAATGGGTGTCAGTATATCAATTACGTAACCGCAGAATAGCAAATTAGGCTTCCATTTTCCCTCAAAGTCAGTTTTAAGAACAAGACTTTTTACCAACTAAGGCTCTTTGATATAGTATCATCAGAAGTCCATAACTAGTTCATATCAACTTCTGGTTTCATGTATTTTGATCGGAAAGACCCTTGTCCCAGGAGTTTCTTTCAATTGATCGAAGTCCGTGCGCAATCAACCGGGGATACATTTAGACAATTATTAGGTTATTATGAACTAAAAGATAGATGTATAAAATTTAAATTTAAATAACTAAAGCTACGAGTGGGTGCAGTAGGTAGGTGAAGTTGATTTTGATTTGGCGGATTGAACTGTAAACGAGTGGGTGATATCGGAAATCACAATCCAAATCATGAGCAAACACAGAACCCTTCTGATAAAACCACCTTGTTATTTCAGTCTTTTAGCTAAACTTGACATGTTTATCATCAATGTGGAGTAGCTACATTCTTACAACGTTACGCCATCAGAAAAGATGGCCGCTATGGAGTCAGCAGTAATTTATGTTCAGATAGTTAAATCTGGTCATAAAAATATTTATCCTCATTCTAAGCTCCATCTATGGAAGAATTTGTAATATTGTTTGTTCTTCCTTTTATATATTTAGCAGATTTTTTATTCATTCAGGAATTATATTCAACATTGGCTCTCCCTTCAAAAAGACCACGTTGCCATAGCTACGTGAGATCATTTTAATAGTGGGAACTCACCACACCACAGGGAGTCCGCAGAGGATAAACATTTTTGACGACAGTGAAAAATAAGGTCAGGTATAGTATTGTTTGCCGATGGCGGTGATCTGGGATCCGTGGTTTTCTAAGTTGGGATCTCAAGTTTTCTTAACACCTTGCTTTATTCTTATCCTTGGCTGAAAAATCATCTCAGAGTTTAGTTGTGAATCATCATCCTACAATGAGGGCGTTTCTTCGCTTTGGGCATCGGAATTCTCGGTTTAGCCATGCATAGCCCCATTTCGCAATAGAAAAACGTGAAATTGCTTATAATTTCAAATAAATGTTGTGGTTGTTTTTTTTCTGATAAAAGCCGAAACGCGTTCCATTCCGGCACAAGGCGGACAAACGCCGGTATCAAAGAGGGAGTCAAGCATCTAAATTTTTCGTTTATCACACTTACAAACGCAGCACATTGTATTTTTAGTTCAAAATCACTGGAGCAAAACCAGCTCAAAATAGCATCCCAGCTAGCGGAAGACCTAGGGCTTTTAATAAGACGCATTGTATTTTCATGACGATTGAAATCAAATTTTTTTCGTGGGCTGCTCGTATATTGTCAGTGACAGCGGTGACGCTGTACTCCCACGTACAACAAACCCATTTCCCTGAACTATTCATACCGACCAATCAGAGAGCACCAAAACAAGATCAATGACACCACAGCATCTTACATGAATCTTCAAAAAGAAAGTAGCTGTGAAAGAGCATGTGAAAGGACTGTGAAAACATATACACTGAGGTAAGATCGATGACTTTAACATCGACACGTTTATTCTTTGAATATTCTTTTGCTGTCTTGGGAATGAGTATAAAGAAGCTGTTCATAGTCTGATGCAAGGACTGTCAGAGCCAAGGTTTGACAACCAAAGTCCAACCAAACCGCCAAGGAAGTAAAATAAATACACAAGACAGTCCATGCAAGCTTATCTCGGTTATCGAAGTATCTACCATAAACTAGAGCTACTTAGGATTGCAATCATTTAAAAATTTATCCTATAAAACTAAGATTCTGCCATCTCTATCAGTCCAGTGGTAGTTCAATAATTTTGCAATCGATCCTTACTTTTTATTTTATTATTTTCGTATAGGCAATCGGTATTTCATCAATTTTTTTTGAATTTCATAACATCCGTTCCGGCATACATATATTTATATGCATAGCAAGAAGTCGAATTTTTTACCTATATATAATGCTTCTTTACCGGCATTAATAAATAAGCTGCTATTATATCATGTTACTCCGGAGAAAATTTCCCCCCTTCGACCAACTTTCACACATTACGTCAAGTGGTTAATCACGTGCCACTTAGTGACGTCACTAATGTAGGTGTGTGTCAGTTTCATGCTCTGAATCTATTTCATTTCAAATTCCAAAAGTACGACCAGGAAGCTTTCCTTCAAGTCAGAATATATATAGGAATTCTTATAATCCTAGATAGACGAGCATTATTTTAAAATTTTGACTGAATTTTTCGATGTTATAGTCTGATAGTTTCCATAAGCCGTATTGGCTTCATATGCATCAGTAATAATATGTAAACTGAGACGATGTCAAAAAGGTTGAATTCGCACGAGTTTAAAACCAAACGTATGAGAATACACACAAGAGTCTTCTGATTCTAATGCTTTGAAGTCACGTTTACTTGCCCTTAGACGTGACGTCCAAACTATACCTTAGACAAACATCACCAAGTCATGATGACCCTCGGTGTGCCTTTGTTTTATCCAGCGCCATGACTCGTCTGTAAACATTTTCACAATTTTAGCTTACTTAGCTTGATCTGGGTCGCTACGATTATGTCAGTGAATCACGTCAAAAGCATCTGCTTGGATTTCTTTAGGGGCACTGTGTATATTGTCGGAACGTAAGGACGGACCTAATTGAGTATTTGAGCAAACACTGGTGGAGAAGGTCAATGATTTGGTCAAACTTTCTCTTAAGCTCAGGCATAGTTTAGATATATATGACAGGGTATGTCTATCAAGCCGAAAAATATGGTTCCAATCTATATTCATTTATATTACTTTCAATTTTAATAGCCGTAAAAATTTCATGTCACCTATGTCGAAGGGCAACGCCATAGAAATTTTCTCCTTTTGGAAATGAAATCGCTTTTCATACAGAAACATTGCGATTTTCTTGGCTACAAACTTGGCTACCTTAAAACCCTTCTATATTAAGAGCATGAGCCTTGCAAAAGCATGTTATAGTTTTAAAGACAGGCGTCGTAACTTTTTGACCAAAATATAATCGTACGGAACTGGGATCGCGCTGTGTCAGCCTGCAGTCGAACATCTTTGTGTGAAAGTCAAAATTGTACTTTTTCTCCGTTCTATTTTTCTCTTATCAACTCAATCCTTATGAGCCATATGCCTTTGCAATCCACCTCCACTTTATTCATTTATTTATTTTTGTGCAGTGATGTTTTCGAGTTTGAGTAGGTATGCAGGAAAAATGTGCATGCCGGCCGGGTCTATGAATTAACACCGCTCTGTTTACTCCAGCAGGAAAAAAATTAATAAGATTCCTAATTTATTGCATGATTGATTTTAAGGTGAAGAGCAGATGCCACGATGTTTTGACATCCAGAAGAATTTAAAAAGTACGTTCATGCTCAAAAGACCTTGAATTGACCCTTCGTGCTCAGCTTCATTGACTGCTTGAGAGCAGATTGAATCAGTGATAGTAATCTTTAAAATAACAAAAAGCAATTGTATTGTAAAAACTGCATTAGATTAGATAGCAGATTGCAAGGATCAAGAAAGCCTCGCTCTCAGTAATGACTAGTTTATTTGAGGCGGGCAAAGTCACAAAACCTTTTAACTGTCAATAATGCATGCGTCGAGTATTGGCCCTCTTTTCCTTTGTTGTGATGCGAGTATTAATGAAGTGACGAACTCATAAATTACGTGCTTTGGGTAATTGTTTCACAGGAAATTCACGTTACACCAGAAAGGAAGTGAGACGTATAAACAGTGCATTTCAAGAAAAGGGCTCAGTTTAGATTAGGTTGGTGCAGCTGAACATTGGAAGTATAGTCAGTTACCTGTAAGCGTTCCTTCGAGTCAGTGGTTAGCGGTTCCAAAGCACTGAACAATTCTCTTTTCTTGTACAATTTAGATTCCACCAGACAAATGCCTACATTGATAATGGAAAGCTCACCTAAATTCATAACTTGTCCTGATTGTGGCGAGAGATATGACAACGCAAGGAAGAGAAGACTGATCGATAATTGTGGTCATCCAAGGTGTTATTCTTGTCTGTTTGTCGACAAACCGTGCCCACTCTGTGAAAGTAAGTACTTCTACTCCTTCTGCTATCTAATCTTGCGAATACTTTATATTTGACACTAACAAGTTGAACAACTATTTACCAGGCAAATTCTGTGAGAAATTTAGGAGATTGAAGCCTCTTTAACCTGTATAACTAAGAATATTCACAGTATATATTTTCAATGTTGTCTTTTTTATTGTCATTTTCTTCATAACAACCCACGCAATGTTTTGGTACTAGGCTTTCTTCAATTTCCGGGGCTGGGATGTCTTTTAGGTCTGTTTTTGTTCTTTTATGCTATCACAAGAAGTGGAGGTGTGTGTAGTGTACGCTAAAAGGGGTTTCAAATTAATTCGTTCTTGCATTTAGTTCTTGTAATTGAGAACGTTACATAAAACTGGTATTCAATTAACGTGCAAGCGAAGCAATCTAGCTTAATTCAAATGTATACAAGGTTTTCACTGATTAAATTTGACGCAAAAAAGTTTTAATCAACTCGTCGTAGAGACCTACGAACTATCTCGTTTGCTTGTCGTGTGTTTTCCAAAAATAAGCTAACCGTAAGGAAGAAATTGGCTTGCAATATCTGTACACATTTCTTGAGTATTTATGCTCTGTGCACTACATATAAAGTCACCTTAACAGTCAAATGCAAGTTACGATTTCCCTAAAATTCCAAGGTTTTGAAACCCAGTTCTGCAGAGTTTTGGAGATTTGGGCCATCAAAATAAATTCCAGATAGAAAATCGATTATTTCTCATTTGTTATCAAAGTATGGCAAATATTTCCAAGATAGCCTTTAGGTTTGTTTCGAAATTGCCAACGATATCTCTTTAATCCTCAGCCCTTTGATGTCAACATATTTGGTGCCATCGTTTTGAAGGGATTATTGTTTAAAATCATCATGTGTATCCTCGTATATTAAGCTAAAGTTTTAACCAAGAAAAACCTGGAATGAAGGGATTAAATCCCTAACAGCAAGCCATATACATTGACAAACAGGTTCAAAAAGTTCACCATCATTTAATGATCTGACGATGAAAGAAATATGCCTTTGAGGACCCTGTTTAGTTCATTTACTTATAGCTAATCTAACTTGAAAATCTATAGGCTTAAGCTGTCAAAAATTGTTTTTAAAGTATGTGCAAATTTTCTGTTAAGACCACCTTTTTCACACCTTATGTGTCCCATTTACCAAGTTTAAAGCAATAATTGCCTAACACCAATCGGTTTTTACAGAACTCTGACGTAGCGAGAGCGATACCATACATCAGACAGAGCTAGTTTATGAGTGAAAATTGGTTTTTGAAACGTTTGAAGACAAACGATAATATTTGCTGCTTGCTTCAGTGCTTTGGGTTTTATATTTTAGAGTATTATTTCAGTAGCCATAGTATTTTTTTCTCTTTATATTCTTCTTGTCAAAATTATTGGATTGCAAAGGTGGTGGCGCCATTTGATCCATGCTTTCTTACCCCCGGGCCACTCATCTTTAGTTATGTAGTTTAATGTTTTCATTATATTTTCAATCGATATTTGAAGTTTTTAACCAAATTTAGAAAAACAAGGAAACATTAGGACCAAGGCAGTGGTTATGTCTTACTGAGATGCAAAGATAGCATCAAATGAATCACTTTATTTGTTTGTTTTTTTTCTGTACTCGAGTCCAACGAACGTAATTGATGCTGCTCGTTCATCATGGTACGTGACAGTATGGTCGCTATTGCGGCAAAGCGTTACGGCATCTGCTCTCAAGTCAAAACATACTCGTAAAACGCTAGGGAAAACAGAGCGTTTTAGTTTGGCGAAAGTTCATTAACATAGCGCTAGCAGGCATATATATAGCCTGACTTATCCTAATAGGATATATTTGATAAAAACACCAGTAACCACATAAGAGGACAATATCTATAAAAGAAAACCTTATCAAGAAGCCAAACAATCATTAATTCAAATTTGCCTTAAACTTTAATTAAAAAGAATTTTGAAGGCTTTTTTGAATGAATACAGTTTGACATGTTTGAGAACAATAGCTTTATTTTCCATTATAATTCGTGCGTCATAGTTAAGAGTACCCTACGGCGAATCTGGTACGCATTTCCTGGCTAACCGCCACTTAATTCTTCAAGTATTGTTTTGTTAAGCTGAATGGAAAATAAAGTGCTTACATTTCCTGGACTTAATCATTGACAAGATACACACCAAAATAAGGGTATTGTTTGAGGAGAAACTGCGATGAAACTTCAATCAAAGAAGCCATTTCTGTACATATCAAGTAGTATGTACTGATTTAGGGAAAGTACATTTCCTGACCAATTATTTCCTGTCCATTTTCTGTCCATTTCCTGATTGGTACTCCGAGTGCATATACCAAAACGTAGTTTTTAAAAATCTGTTATAGAACCTTAGATTTACTGGTAATTCCTTGTAAATACGATCAACGCCGGCAGGAAATCTGTTAATCTGATCTTTTGTCAGAGAGCTGCTGACCAGGCAGAAAGGCTAAACAACTCGGAACTTTTTTCTTAGGTCTACGATGTTGATGGAACAAATAAAATCCTATAAATAAGGCAGTTTATAACAATCATAGACATTTAGCGTCGAGGAAAGGCAACGTTTTTTGGAAAAGGATTCCTCTTAAAATGGCTTACCATAAACTACGAAACGAAACGAAACGAAACAATAAAATGCGAAACGAAGATTTCGCATTTTACAGATCTTTAAAATGCGAAACCGTCATTTCGCATTTTACAGATCTGTAAAATGCGAAACGACAGACTGTAACCTGAGGCTTTGCGATCTCATGTTTAACTGTAAGCTTACTCACGAAATTAGATGAAAACT